TCCAGGTCCGTCTCGTTATAACGTTAAACGACATAAAATCATACATACGGGAGAGAAGCCATACAAGTGAGTCCTCATCTCCACTATATTTTGCTCTACAAATCAAATCTAAACCCTGTTTTGAATGCGTACCCGAAATACAGGTGCAATTGGCCGGGATGTGAGTGGAGTAGTGCTAACAATAAGATAGCCGACCACAAGAGAATACACACCGGTATGTAGTGTGGCTCCAGTTGTTTGTATCAATAAACATAGGCTTCATATGATTGCAGGCGAGCGGCCATACGCTTGCAATTGGGTTGGATGTGAGGCCCGATTCAGTCGACCCTTTACTCTGCGAAATCACGAGCGGACGCACACCAAAGAGAAGCCATTTGTATGCGATTACCCCAACTGTGACTTCAAGTCATCGCAACAAACGCCGTCAGTATTGATGTGTTTGAATGTATACGTGAAATGAGATATTAATACAAATCAAATACAAATCAAATCATTGTATAGATTGACGGCTCATAAGCGAAAGCATCACAACTCGTCCGCAAACATAGCTTCAGAAGAGAGCATTAGTTTAGTTACTAATTATGAAACTGTGGAGACATTAGGCCTCACTTCATGATAGTGTCATAATCGGCGACGAATGACATGATATATAAACCAAACACTTCTCGCTGTTTAATATAAATGATTTTAGTAACCCATCAGGTGTTCAAAGTGGAGGTCACTCCTGACCACAGATGTACAGTATGTCTACCAACCGGCACATCCACTGCCAGTGACAGCCGGAGTTGAGTTCACTTTGAGTGTAAATCTACTCAAAGGATAATACTTTTGAAAAGCCATTCAATAAATTGTAATAAATTTTAATAACATATAAATTCAATTCAATTAAACTCTAAATGAATGCAAATGTCAGTGAATTGGATGAAGACTCGCATCACTTCTTCTTCTTGTTCTTCTTCTGTGCGGTTTGAGTGCTATTCTGTGGGTTCTGTTGTGTGCTTTGATTGGTCGCCGATTTGGATCTGCTCTTCAGTTTGGGTATCATTTTGGAGACATATCTCAAGACATGCTTCTTATCATCAAATTTGTTG